CAATAGAAGATTTTAGTGTACGTTTTTGAGCTTCACTTAGAGCAATAGAGAAACCAGTAGAGAAACTAGAAATCGAATCCGAACTTTGATTTTGTTTGGTGATTTCATGATGATGATGATGATTAAAGGTTGATTCGATGACTAATTGAGCTTCTTTTGCTCTTGCTTTCCATTCTTCTTTTATAGGTTTTGATCTTGTTTCCCATTCAAGTTTGATCGGATCAATGGTTCTTCTTTTAAATAAATCTAAATGTGCATCTAATGATACCAGTAAATCATAAAATGGTAAACCATCACCAAATAAATCTTCTTTCCAATTATTTAATTGACCTGGTGAGCTTGTTGTTGGGAATGGTGTGGTTGTACCAGTTTGTGGACTTGATCGATCTGATATGGGTGTTTGTGGTCTTGATTTAGAAGTTGAAGATGAACGTGATTGTGACTTGGTTAGTGAGTCTGTGGAAAGGTTGAAGTTAGTTCTTATTGATTAAATGAATGAGTTCTTAATGATAAACTGACTTGAACCTGTTCTAGTTTGATTAGATCGAATTGAGTGATCGACTCGAGCCATTTGGTGATGGGTGGTCAAGTCAGAGGTTGAGGTTGAGGTGGTAAACTGAGAGTTGAGGTTGAGAATAAAACCAACTTAAATTAAATTAAGTACTTAGTTAATTAGTTTCAATCTAATCTCGTCTCATTTCATTTCATCTTCAAACGCAGTTAGTCACTCAAATTAAACCGTACACAACCACGCACACTTCTTCACTAACCCAATTTAACCGTTAGGTAACTTCATCAATTCCCCACTATAACTTGCTCTAATTGAGAAGCCACAAGAAAAAATTCAAAGTCGACTTTTGATGTTTTTCTGTTTCCATCTGAATCTTCCTTCATTTTTACTGAAAGGGAAAGAGTGAGACACTGCGCAACTGTTGACATCTTAAATACCTTGTAAATAGCACTCATTCACTATATCCTCTTAGTGCCGTGCGTTAAGTTATGAATTACTGCTTTAACTTTATGGTCATTTAAATATTTTCTCCACAGATAAAGTCACTGTTCACGAGTACAATCCGTTAGACATCGGTTATTGTCATTTAGTATACGAATAAAAGCCACAATGAAATCAAAACATGATCCTCGCCAATCCTACAGAGTTCGATAGCGAGAAATATACAGGGGTCGTAGATGAATGGAAAAACAAGGGAAATCAGAAGAGAAAGAAAGCGTTTATAATAAGATCAAGTTTCAAAACCAATGAACATTTCTGGACAAATTTCGTGCATGTGGCACCAATGGAGTGAAAAAGAGCTGCGTCGACATAAAAGAAGCATAATCATGAGATTGTGATGACGATAGATCGAGACTTGATGTGGGTGTGTAGGTGTATAGTTCCACAACGTGGAAATCGGGGAACCTATTAGGGATCGAAACAATGTGTTCGTGATGGATTGCCAAAGACGACTCGAAAGCCGAATACCGAGCAAAGCTTCACTTCGTCTGATCTGTAGGTGTCCTACGACATGTGGTGATGAGATTAATTTCGTGGGTCAAAATTCTACCGCGCATGCTTTCGCCCTCGCTTGAAGGCATGTACCAAATCTGAATAATTGGCCATGAAACTATGGCAAGCGTTTGGGTTGTCAAGTAGTGCTTAGATCCATCCAGTATATTATTTGAAAGATAGCATACCTGATCCACGCGCTTGCACAGCCCGCTACGACACGTACACCCTCCCCGCGAGATTGCATTTCCAGAACGTCATAAACTACCATACCGCGAAGGATCAGCGCTTGATTCCTCATCATGGAATCTCAACCTGGCAAATTGACTTACGCGAGAAAACTCCATCGCACACCAGTGCAACTCGAGACCACCAGAGTCGGTCGATGGCACGTCTACACTCATGTAGTGTCTCTCGCCGTGAACGGTTTACGGAGCGCTCCAGACTTACCCGCCTACTTAACGGGAGGCTATCCCATTCGGCCTGAGAGATCTCGGGGCAAGGAGGCAGCGCTCGCCCACCAGGCTCGTCACGAAGAATCATAGCCTGTCGAGTGGCTCGGCCGTGAGCCCAGAGGGAGGCCTTGGCAAGTGTCGTCTCAGCCCAACGACTCAATACGCCAATCAAGTTGATCGTGCTTGCGATTCGGTTACATTGACTGGGAAGCAATCGGACCAACGACAAGTCATCAAGGAGGCCAACAATACCTTCGGTCGTGTCCGATGTGATACTCGCCAAAGCCTTCAGTCGCCCACGCTCGTCATCAGGCAAGTCAGGGAGGGTCCATGTTTGAAGGCCAAGTATGAATCGTAGAGTCCATAGAAGGTGGAGAAGCTTTCGCGAAGTCGAGATCAGTGAGATGATTAAGATGCTTCCTAAAAACAACCTCGTCTGCACAGGTCAACCATGACTCTTATTGGTCACGTCGTCACATCTAATCAGGAAATCTTTATCAACTTACGATTCATTCCTGTCCTACCCTTCCGTACCGAGGGTCTCGCGCGCGCATAGAGATAATAGCACAGTCGGAGACTATATTGGGCTACCCGCTATATTAACGGGAACGCGATGATTGATTTTGAGCGATCCGATGGCGGTGGGAGCGGATCAAGATTAAAAACTGACCAGCATGCGCTCCAATCCATCGGGAGATGCACGCATAGTAGACAAGACCTCAAGCCGGCTTATCGGCTTCGACGCGCGAATGAACTGGAAGTCGGGATGTTTGAAAAACATGACATCTTCGTCACTTTCAGCTTTCCAAGTCCTCGTGGTTGGGTTTAATGATGACAAACTGGCAAACGATTTAACCCCTACGAGCTGCTGACCTGAGCATGGATGGGGTGGATAAGAGGTCCACTTTGGGGGAAACTGACTGGATGACTACCGGATGACATCGAGTGGTTGTGTGCGTTTTTCCTAGGTCAACAAACCAGCGAAGAGAGTTGAGGTGAGCAAGCAGAGATGGGCAATCGTGATCGAAAACTTCCTCGGGCCCAAAAGTGCAAAAATCTGAGCTTACAGTAGATTAAGTTATCAAAGGGTTACATAACAAACTCACCTTATCAGATTGACTTGAGTATCGCTGATTGCTTTCTCTTCAAGCTCCTACATATTATCATGAACACCACTTGAAGTTCAGCAATCGAACATGCACTATTGGCTCCTACATCAGCCTGAACTTGGTGTTGAACATGACTTGTATTCAAGTTGCGTATCAGTCTGGGTATCTAGGGTAGATTGACTTTACAAAGTTTATAGGGGGGTGTTGAGGAAATCTCATGAAAAAATAGGCAAGGCTCTGATCAGTCTGAAGACCTGTGTTTTTTATGTTTTCTCAAATAATAGATACCCTGACAAATGTTGTTAAAAAAAACTAGTGACAAACATGCAGTCAGAACAAATCAGTGAACAAAAAGGTATTGTTTTCATAAACAAATTCATTTTTAAAAATCTAGAGGACGGATGATAAAATCGAGCAGGTTTCAGAGGTTTTGAAATATTTTTGCCTATCAGCACTCTGTAGAATCTTGTGGGATTTTTTTTTTTTTTTTGAGGGGGGGGGGAGAGAATAGGGGACCAGTCACTTGAAAATAATAAAGTCATGGCCATAAGTTTCTTTTTTCTCTGTCTCTATAGCCAAGATGGCTACCATGAGCTTTTCTTTAGATGAATATGTCCAATATAACCTTGGGAAACAAAAAATAAAAATAAAAATCAGACTACAAACAAATATTTGTTTCTTGGCCAGGAACCTGATTTAAGGATCTAGCCTGGCTAAGGCATAAAACTTGACTGGATTTAGTTCATGTTATACTTGGACTATTTTTTAGTTCTTTTATTTGGAGGGATATTTTTCAAATTGTGTCTTGAGTCTAAACCAACTTGAAAAAAAAAAGGACTGAACTGTTCACTCAGCACTGATACAAAACTTTTAGGAACTGGTTTCTCATGTAGGCAAAAGGGTAGTTGTTGGAAGTAAGGTCAAAGTCACCCAAGATCTTAATCCAAAGATCTATTGCGGTCCAGAGTTCTCATCCTTGGGTGTAAAGTCCTTGGATAACTCCATCCAAGGTTACTTCGGATCAAGAATGGAACAGTACTTTACTTTGATACCACTTGATTTTTTTATTTTTATTTTTATTTTTTCTCTAAATCATCTGAAAGCTTGAAGAATAAAAGAATGCTGTATATGTATTCAAGGGACCCCTATCCACACCCTTCTAATAGTTTAAGGCGGTTGTGTATTCCGGGAGTGGGGAAAAAAAAATCACTATGGTACACTCAAAGAGTGCAATACTGTGTCATCCTTTTTTTTTGGATTTCTCTATTTAGCCAATCAAGATAGAAATTCCAATAGGGGGATTTCCAGTTGGAAATTTCCTAGAAAAAAACTTTGAACAGAACCAGCACATAAACTATAACTTCCTAGGGTGTAGAACTTGCTTTTTATGTAAGGAATGTAGCACTAAATTTTAAATTTCCAAAAAAAAAAAAGAAAAAAAAAACCAACACAACTTGATACCCCCTGATATCAGGCATTTGGATATCAAAAATTAGTTCAAAGAGTGGGAAAAGAAGTATGGGGTTCTAATCACCAAGCAAGGGGGGGGGGGCTTCAGATCTGTTCATGTACTACATCACCTTATGTAGCTTACAATGAAACTCTTGTAAGTACATGGAGAACCCGTAATTTAAAGTAATATGACCTGTGTAAGGACCTGTTGTTTCAGCTGCTGAAGCCAACCATAAATCTACTTGGAGAAGTCCTTGCAAGCATCCTTGCAAGCAGGGCTTTTTTTTTATTATATGTATACCCAGTGAACAAGCTGTCTTCTTCAACAGATGCTTGTGTCCCGGAAAGACTTTCAAGTTTTTAGACAGAAGAATTTACAAGTTTTTTAATTTTTTACGAGATATTATCTAAATCTGAAAACCAGGTATGTCTGTGGCAAAACACGTGGATTGGTTGTAAATTTACACATCTCTCAATGTATCCGAATTGGTGTATCGGCTAGCATTTCCGCCTTTCATTCCTATGAGCGCGGGAGAGACGGGTTCGACTCCCGTATTCGGAACTTTCTTTTTATTGCTGTGAAGTTTACATTTGTCTTGAGGAGTTGGAAAGGGAGCAATTCATCCAATGTGACCAAAGCAGACTTTGGCTTATGGTCACCGTGGAAATTTCCACAACTCTGAAACAGGGCCAGATTTGACACCGCGTGCAATACAGTGTCGCATACAGGCCTGCGACAATCGAACGCAAGTCCGAAAGTCACATGTGTCTGTTTGCGACAGTAACAAATTGGCTGGTGACTGCAGCAGCTGTATTGCGACAAAGGCCACGGCTGAAATACAGCTTGCGACATCTCAACCCTCAAGCCTCAACCCCTCCGGAATCTCTTTGAACCTCCATCCTCGTCATTTTCATCCTCCAACAATCCTTTCAGCTTCTCTGTGGCGAAAATATTCCTTGATACACCTGATGTGCACCTAGAATTTCCCCTTTTAGCAGTTTCCATCTGGCTTCCTCATCCGAAGGAGTTTGAAATTATGTGAAATTGACGCCCTTGTTCTACTGGCTCTCAGCAAGAAGAATCAAGGACGCCTTCTAGACACAAAGGAGTTGAAGTCGAAGGAGTTGGCCTGTTAGGCATGCAGCAGAACCCTATCTACATCAGTAATCCTTTTCCACTGATCAATTTACGCCTTGCAAGCCTATGAAAACATTGACAATGCTTGCCTCTGTCCATTCCTTCATCTCCGCTCTTTCTATAGTCACTCTTGCCATCACATATTTGTCGCAAATATATATACTCTTACCATCAGATATACACTTTTTAGAAAAATCCCCAAAAGAGTGATAACTGCATGACCAAATGTATTTCAGCCTCAAGAACATGAAACTTCTTTATTTCAAGATATAGAGTACTCACCAGTTAGCGACGTGTCACATACATCTAGCTGTAGTTCTTCAAACCCTAGATTTGAACCTTTGCTGTTTGAGATCTGATCTTCAGCTATGTCAGGTTCCAGAAAGGAATTGTGGCTTGGAGAGAAGTGTGATGGGGTTGAGGCATTCATGTCGGCAAGGTGATGTTTCAACTGGACTTGGCAAGATACAAATTAACCAGGCATCTTGTTTCCATCCTTGCCAATACATGTCTTTGTCATGCAGCTTGAGCAGACACATATAATCATTGTGAGAATTAAAAGTGAGCTGAGGTTGTATGAAGGATTGTTGGAGGATGAAAATGATGAAGATGGAGGTTCGAAGAGATTTCAGAGGGGTTGAGGCTTGAGGGTTGAGATGTCGCAAGCTGTATTTCAGCCATGGCCTTTGTCGCAATACAGCTGCTGCAGTCACCAGCCAATTTGTTACTGTCGCAAACAGACACATGTGACTTTCGGACTTGCATCCGATTGTCGCAGGCCTGTATGCGACACTGTATTGCACACGGTGTGAGAAGTCTAGCAGATTGATAAACTTGAGTGATCTTTTTATGATATCAGGATTGTGTACATTGTGGTGGCACAAGTCTTGTGACATGTAGGAGTTTTTTATTGGTCCATTTTTTCTAAAGTGCAGTTTGTTTTTACATTTCACACTATTACATCTAATATTCAGACCTAGTCTCTTAGGGGGTAAAGGGAAGCTAAGAAACTAACAAGTACATCTACTGGATGACATGTAGGAGTGGTGCAGATAGTACAATACAGAGCAGAGGTTTTCCATTCAGCTCTTCTCTCTCTCAATACCACAATAGTCATCTTGGACAGTTCTGCCCCTTCTCATCCACCTCCTACTTTCCTGTGCCCCAGAACCACCCGAAGCCAGTACTACTCTTATATTTTCTGTGGATACTCTCCTTCAAAGTCTCTCTCCCTCTGAGGCTCTGTTGCCCAAGGGAGGCAGTTTTTTCTTATTGGGTTCTTCATACAATCAGAACTTGCCACTGCCCTAATGCCTTCAAAAATTCCTCTTAGTTCTATCCTTATGCTTTACAGTCCACAGGTTGTGTGTGGGGGGTCTACAAGTCATGGCATGGGTCTAATATGGACCCCTCTGACTTGAAGGTCAAGTGAACAGTGGTAAGTTTGAAGAGGATTCTCTTCCCTTTGGGTGGTGGGAGAATCTTCACAAATTCTTTGCAGAGAGATTTTTGAGTTTTTAAAGGCTGAGGAGATTGGGAGTGGCAGGAGTGGTGTGTGCTGGGTCTGCTACCACTTCAAGTCAGATAGGAAATTTTCCCAGCCTTCCTGACTTTTCTAACCTCAAGGTCAGAATTCAGTGCTAGAGACTCTCAGCTTGGGTCATGTCTTCCTCCCATAGAAGTGCATTGTGCCTTTGGGGCGCACTAATTCTGCCTGAAAGAATATCTTGCAGGATAGCATCCATGGCAAACATGATGGCTGTGCAGGTCCTAACAGATCCTTGATTCGAGGGGATGAGCTAAACACAACACAAGACTATTTAATTATAAGTTTATCAAGAAATTCTAAAATGTCTTAGACCCAAGAAATTTAAGGCCAAGATAATTTCCCTTTGGTCAAGGAGGAGGTGTTGTAGGGGTAGGCTTTGACCAAGGGGGCTTTGTACTCCAGCCTAACTAAGCCCCTTGCAAGCATGTTTATCATCAATGCAGGGTTCATGACCCATTGATCTATTGATACCTTGGTATAAATTCTGGCATGTATGGCAATCTCAACCACTCAACTCCATTTTCCTGCCATACCTCTTTTTCAACTTTCTCTGACCAAAGAGAGGAGTGGGTGCAGGCCTGTGCAGAACCACAGGATGGAATTAAGGATGTTATTAGGCTCGGGTATTTGGTAACTTAAGATAAGTGGGCCCGGCCAGGGACTCCTGACTTATTGCGGATGCGGCTGACTCCGGTGGATCACAGTTCTAAGTCAACCATCTTCCCGCCTATCAGGTGAGACTTGCCTTCATCATCCATCTACGCGAAAAGTACTGATGGAAATGACAAAACCCTGAAGGCCCACGATGCCGATCCGCAGGATGCGTCCGACCCTCGTGTTGACCGCCATGTCTAACCGGCATCAGTCTTCGACGACGACCATCGCGCCCAACCGGCATCGATTGTTCTACCGCCAATTCGTCCCGCCCATGCTTCATTGCCTAGTCCTTGCTCTCACCACCTACACCGGTTTAAAACTTTTGAAGCAAACGCTTAAAGAGGAACGTACACTCGAAGACATGTACGCCCGACGATCGGCGCTCGAGGAGGAAGTTGCTATGGGCCTGAAGGCTCTCGAGATTGAAACGGACCCTCCACTACCGCTTCCTTGGTGGAAGAGGATCGGTCGGTGATTCGATGGTCAAGAGATTGGCGTGGTAAAACTTGGCTCCCAATTGTTTCATGCACGCGTCAGTTGGACTGATCTCTACTCCCCCCCACGATACTCGTTGGTTCTCCGCGAACGAATGTATTGCACTTTGCTGAAAACCCTCCAACCTGTTCCTTTTGCGTGGTACATCTCTCCTCTCTATTCTAGCCAAAAATAACCACACTTTCAGACAATGAGTGACGATTTTTCTTTGAGGTCTGCTAGGATCTGCTCAATCACGCAAAGCTCCAAGCTGCCCCAGCGTATGAGGTGACGGATAATACTCGAAAAGCTGGTCATACGCCATTTTTCTGGCGCATGGCTGTCACAATGCGCCAAACTTTTTGAAGCATGTAGGCAACACCCAAAATTGTCCCATGCCTCAGAGAGAACCAGTATGACCCTGCTTGATCACCACAACAATACCCATAAACCTGTGCAATGGTCTATGCCATTGTTGGGTCGTTGGTCCATTAATCTGCACACACGTCTGAGCAATGAAAATTTATACGGTATCCAAAAACAGAGGTAGTTCCACTGTGGCTTTGGTCTCCTCATGTTCTTTGTTCTTGCTTCCGACATCTATTATAGGTTGATGTGAGCCCCAGTGTGCCAGTGGGTCAACATTGAGGTGTTTGAGGTGTTTTCACCATGTCTTCTGGAAAATGTTGAGCTTTCCTGTGGCTTGTATAAATCTACAGGAGTCTGAATCCCTGCAGGTGACTGTCCCTTTATCATTGTCCATTGCTGGTTTTTGGTGGCATGTGGACTCAATTAGAGCTTGAGCTTATGAGTGTGTAAATGGTGGCAAGAGGTGGTTTTATGGCTATCCATGGCCCCAGAAAATTTACTACAAGATTCAGGAGGCAGTGAGTCTTTTGGCACTTGATAGGGATGTACCATATTCTCAAAAAAGGAGTCCTCTTCAAATTCTTGGCAACCTAGACTATGGTTGAAGGAAGTCAGGGTTGTATTTGATTGAAAAATGGGTATCTGACAGGTAATTCATGTGTTGGTATCCATGTATGAGTGAGCACAGACCTTTTATTTTGCAGAAGTGATTGGTGAAATACAATCAATTTCTTCTGAATGCATCTGGTTGGGCATAGTTTTTTTTTTCTTTGGCTTTTGGCTTTAGGGTATTATGCAATAATAAATACACACACACACATACACACTCTCTCTCTGATTTCATGAATGAATGAAATGTTTGAATAATCCATTGTATGCCATTAGATTGTACTCAAAATCAATTTCTTTGGGAAACAAAAGCAGATAGGCAAGAACTCAAACACCAATTTTGTTATTTGGCTTGCAAAATAAAAGATGTTGATTGATAAAAAATTTGACTACCAACAATTTTTTCCAAGAAATCCAGCAGAGAATTTGATTTGTTGCTCAAAGGAGTCTCTGTCCCTTCCAGTTGAGAAAAGAGGAGAAACACTGCCTCCCTTTTCTTGTGATGAGCTTCAACAGGTTTTGGTTGGGGCTCATCCTCAGGCTCACTACATGTGTGGTGATCATTTTTATTTTAGTCATCCACTCTTTCTTCAGTTGGTGGTATAGTAAAATATTTGGATTTTGTCTTTTTTTTTGTTGAGTATATGGTGCAGCTTTCCTACTATCTTGCAAGATCTGGAAGCTGTCCTTGAGTTTCAATCAAGTTTAATTTCTGAGCACATGAAAAAAGGAAGAATGTTGTGGTATATGGATCAGAGAAAAGAAG